TGAAACTGTAGCTTGACCAGCTACAAGCTACTTGTAAATTAAAGTAGTTAAGCTACATTCAAGCTACCCTTCTGAAAAAGTAGCTAGCTACACTACAAGTTACTATCAAAAAGTAGCTAACTACATTGAAACTACTTTCAATTTGTATTATTATTATTATTATGATTATTATTATTACTATTTTACAATTAACATTACAAATAACTAAATAATTATTAATGAAGAATTATGAGGAAGTTATAAGTAAAATATTTGGGGTTTAAAACATACTGTAATGTAATCATGATTTCAAAGAATGAACTACAGTAACCACTTATATGAAAGTACGAGGAAAGGTCATGAACTGACAACAAACCACACACGCACACGTGTGTATACGTAATAACTACACCTAATCTCAATTCTAAAATACAGAGGGGCAAAGACACATTGCAAAAATAATAAAAGATGACAACCTCTGCTACAGACACTTTGCATTTCTGTCACAAATTGAAAGAAGAGAGAAGGGAGTGAAGAAAGGAAAGAAAATAAGAGAGGGTCGGAAGGAAGACAGCAAGTAAATAAAATAATGAAGTAAACAAAGGAGGAAAGGAACAGTAAAATGAAGAAAGGACTAGCTAGCGATAAGATCACATCAGAAGTGTGATCATTCTTGAAGCAAACTTTTGCCTGAATGATGATTAGATTCACTGTTTTGGATCGCCACATTTAATTTGAGAATGCACGTACAGAATGATGTGTCTGTTGTGTGATAGGGCCACTCCCGGGTCCTAATGTCTGTCCTTTTATTTATTTAGGGGACGCTGTAGGCCTACTTGTACAAATACCATTAAAACACTTGTGTTTCTGAATAAATAAAGCAGTAATTGATGTCATCAAATCACAAGTCTGATAGGGTTCGTACGGTCATGAAAAACCCAGAAAGCTTTGGAAAAGTCATGGAAATGTATTTTACAAATCTCTATATAATAGAATATATGTTTAATCATGTCCTGAATCTCGGTGCGGGATTGCGCAATTTGGTTTTACTCATTCCCGCAGGGCAGGTTTCGCACGTTTGGAAAATTCCTGCAAACATGTATTTAATATACAATGTAGGTTAGATGAGTTCAAATAATTCACACAGCATATCAGATGAAGTCAGTCATTTGAAAACAGCGTGAGTGGTTCAGCTGTACCGCGTCTTCTGGCTCTCACTCTCCAAATTGCCTCACATCAGCACATCTCGTCTGCACTAAGAGAGCTGCTGCACGCTGCCATACAAGACTTTCGCTCAGCTGACAGGATTGTCACTTGCCTAATCGGGTCAGTGTTGCATCATCACAAAAGTTTATCATTTGCACGTCTTTTTAAGTCTTTTTAAACCATTCGGTACTCGCGCGCTCCAAACTAGTTTTCTGGGCACTCACGGTCACATCCAAAGCACCCGCACATGAAGCCGCGCAAACACCTCCAGAAAAAGTTATTGTTTATTCGGTACTGGTGCGCTCCAAACTAGTTTTCTGGGCGCTCACGGTCACATCCAAAGCGCGCGCACATGAAGCCACCTCACAGTTATTGAAAAAAAAGTTATTGTTTTCATTGTTTCTGACTCAAGTAGTAACCTTGCATTTTAATAAATAATGTTACATAAAGAAACGGTCAGTAATAAATGAACAAGTTACCTGCAATAGCACAAGGATACAAATGAAACAAACTGTGTTTTAACTTTTTCAGGTAGGCTAGCCTAAAACTAACAGTAGCTGCTATTCAGGAACAAAATACTATGATGTATAAAGTCATAGATATAGATTATATTTATATATTAATCCATATTAAATATGAAAAAGTTATTTAGTCAAGAGCAGATTTGAGCAGAGTGATTTTTTTTTCTTTTGTTCTTTAACACAGACTGACAGACAGCATACTAAAAGCTGATGTCACTTTCATACCAAATGTTAACAATGTTAATTAATTATTGGTTATTGTTAATTAATGTTAACAACAAAAGACAAAATCACTCACTGCTCTTGACTGAATAACTTTTGTAACTTTAATTTTAAGAATTAATCTGTTGTTTAATTTACAGTGAATTTACTGTTTTTAATTTATAGTTTATTCCATTTCTGCAGCATTTCTGTACCTGAATGTTTTACACCAAAACTGTTTCTAAAACGAAATTCAGGTCCTGAGTTTAATTTATAATACTGGCTAAGCAAATTACAATATACTTAATATTCTGGCATTATGTGATTATGTAACTTATGTTTCTTAGCATTACACGGACCAGTAAATGGTTCAAACAGGCTATAAGTACAGTCGTTTGCTGTTAAATGAAGTTAAATTAATTAGCATTTTAAACGAATTGGTTGATTTAAGGATTCAACTCACTCATTGCTGCCACCTACTGGCGGTTGTAGTTTCATATTTTAAAAAGTAGCTCGTTATTTCATTTTTGCAATCATTTAATATTTCTACATTTAAAATGTTGTATTTAAACTTAACATAATGTATGCAAAATCCATCTATGGATTTTGTTTATAGTGAATTCATTTGATTGCTAATAGCCAACATGTTTTTTTATTCAGATTGAATTTATTACATTTAAGAATCCGACATAAAAGGACATAGATATGACAATACATTTTCATAATAATACATCTCTTTGTTTTTTTCTGCTCAGTGTTATTTCAGGGTTTTGATCTCTCAACTGAGAGATCACATCCTGTTTATTGTATTATAGTGACTATTTAATATTACATCTAAACTTTGACTAGGCTAGACATGTTGCCTTTTAATTGTATACAGTATATGAATCTGAAAGCATATTTTAATTTTTGTGTATTTTGTGTTACTCCATAATAATGTTATAGTTGAGGGCATTTGTAGTATAGGTATGGGGCCCAAACATAACCTCAAGCCCAGGGGCCCAAGGGCCCCCGGCCCCGTAAGTCCTGCCCTGACTATACTACATCATTATATACTAGAATAGAAGAAAGTATTTTAGAACATCGGTCAACAAATTACGCAACTTATCTTAGGCTTAAGTAATCTTATAGTTATAGTTATCTATAGTTAGCAGGTGTTGACAAGTTATAATAATATCATGAATATGGCTTCAGGTTTGCTGTTTTACCTACATTTATTGTTGTCTGTTAAATTTTCTACATAAAAATAAAATAAAATAAAAATAAAAAAGTAATTCTTACTCATGACAATATTTTAGTAAGCCCTCTGGCTTTAACTCACCATGTAGAAACCTGACCCAAACCAGTGCTGTTTTAGTTAACTAAAATGTATGTTAATTGAAATGAAGCTGAAATAAATTAAGATAACTTATTAAGATTAGATGAAAAACTTAAAAACAAATTAGAAATGTTGCATTGGCAACTAAATAAAATACACTGAACTACTAAAAATACTACAACTTCAAAATAAACAAAACATTATGTATGTAATATGTATATAATATATATATATATATATATATATTTATTTTATTATTTTTTTTTTTTTTTTTCAATCATAAAAATTACATAAAAGCATATAAAATTACTAAAACTGACCCCAAAACAGCCACTGAGTGTCACTGCTATACAGAGAACTCAGACAGCTCAGACAAAAATAGTTTTTAGAAAAAAATGATCTCAACTACCTGTTCTAGTAATTCACATTAGTGCAAATGTTGCTAATAATTTTGCAATAAACCCATTTTCTTCATTTTGCAAGCACAATGTGCAAATAAAATGGCAATAAAATTGTCAAAAATTAAGGGATGCTTTAGAATGAACCAATAAAAGGCAATTTCTTGACAATTTCTCACACTATGTCCTAGTGGTACACCAGCTGATGTGCACTCTGGAGAACTACAAAATCTGATTCATGTTTCCTACTGAATAAACATATTTAATATATCACATAAGGAATTTATTTAGTTTTTGTTGTCTAGGAAGCACCATTGTGCAAAAGTGAAATGGAATGGATACCGTTTTTTTTTTTTTTTAATTACAGTTGCTTTTGATGAATGTCCTTCCACTATTGCACAGCATTGCCTCCAGGCAACATAAACAGCAAAACAACTTATTCTAAACCAGCATTCTGTGAGTCGTCATCTCATTTCAGTGTACAAATAGATTTGATACTATTTATACACATACATTTGACTATTTAGTGCAGGGGTGCCCCAAACTCGGTCCTGGAGGGCCGGTGTCCTGAAGAGTTTAGCTCCAACCCCAATTAAACACACCTGAACCAGCTAATCAAGCTCTTACTAGACATACTAGAAACTTGAAGGCAGGTGTGTTGAGGCAAGTTGGAGCTAAACTCTGCAGGACACCGGCCCTCCAGGACCGAGTTTGGGCACCCCTGATTTAGTGTGTCAAATATGCACCTGAAATGTCCAGCACCTGTTGTCAATCACTATTTAAACAGATATAATTTTGAAAAATGTCTTGGTGAAGATAAACAGAGGGCAGACAAATAATATTCCAAACATCATAAGGTGTCTAAAAACAAACAGCATTACTTACTACATACTTTCAAAAATTGTTGTAGCATTTGTAAATAGTAATACTTATGATCACCTTTATAACCACTAGATGGCAGCCTACTATTCCAAATACAGTCTCTGACAGGAAGTTAATACTTCTGTGATGGTTTTCCATTGATGTTTTTGTTATATTGTCTTTAGAAAGTCTATTTTTAAGGGGGGGAAATAGAGTATATAAAGAAAGTAGTGCATAAACAGACAAGGACAAGGATGAGAGTCGGAGTGAAGGATCTACTGATTCTCTTATAGTACACAACATTTTTGGCACAATATAATTACTTTCAAAATGTTGCATTTACAGATTATGGTGCTTGGAAGTATACATTTTTAAATATATTTCTAAATGGCATACTTAAAAGTTAAAAAGGAGAAAGTTTGAAACATTGAAAAACAATGAAAAAATTGCATCACTTTACAGACGGTGTGACTGCACACTAAATATGCTGTAATAAACAATACAGAGTGTACTCACATCAAACTCATTGAGAGCGGCGGCCAGCTCGCCGATGCCAGCGTGGCCGTGCTTCTCGTCGGTGGGTGAAGTGGCCTGGGCAGAGCTGGAGATGCCCCCAATGGCCTCTTGGACCTGTTTGAAGACATAGTCGCGGTTGGCACGTGTAGCAGCCACGTCGGGGTGGCGCAGGAAGGCCTGGGATGCAGTATAGAGCATAGTGGCGTTCTTCTTAAGAGCCCCTCGAGCTGCCGCCATCTCGTCCCTGCACTGAGGGTCCTTCAGCTCCTGACACACACACACACAAATATCTGTTTAAACCTGCCATTTAAGACCTAATGCACAGATCTAATATACTGATAGACATCCAATTTTCTCCCTAATGTTCAAATTAATTTAAACCATAACCGTGTTTTTTGCGAATAGTCAGCACGCAGGGATTTTTTTGGGGGAATTGTGAGTGCATTTGACCATTGACTGTTTTATTGTTAGATAATAGCTAGTTAAATTCTAATAGTAGTTAGATAACATAAGCAACACTTCACTCGTTACCACAGCCAGATGTCAGTTGGCTTAAATTTACCTCAAATTAATTGTAGTGATTTGTGTTAATAAAATTATAAAAGTTGCTTAAGCTAAACCAATTATTCAACCCTGAACCCTGACTGCACATTCAGTTAAAAATGATCTACCCTCTCCCTGGATATATAATAAAATATTTTGTTAAGTGCAATTGGTTGCCTTGTATTGTATTGTATTGTATGTTGCCATTTATTGTGCATCTTTGCATCATGCATAAGTGAACTATGTAAGATAACAATAGGATAAATAATTATGACCCTAGTAGAACGAGAAAAATGCATGAATTAATCCATGAATACTGTATTATTCTAAGTTATGTGAGAAATCCCTCTTCCCTCCAAAATGAAACTAAGAAAAACATGATTAATGCAACAATATGCGTTAATATTTATGGAAAACTGATGCAACTATAGTTGCTGCTGCTATCTGTTCCGCTTAAACCCATTCGGACAGCATTTGTTTGGAACTATTGAGAGATCCTTTAACCACGTATACCTAAGGATATAGATAGATAGATAGATAGATAGATAGATAGATAGATAGATAACAGTTGTGATATTTAATAATACCTGCTGTCTGCGAGCAGCAACATAGTTGAGTTTGACCATCTCTTTCCCAAACTCCTTAAAGCGATTGGCCAAGTCCTGCTCATTGGTGGCATTCTTGACAGCTTCTAGAGCTTCTTCCACCTGTAAATCAACATCCACACACATACCAACTGTTTCAACATCATCCATAAAATGAAAGATAGTAGAAACGTTCCATAAAGCACTTTAACTGATGCGGTCGAGTGACGGTTAACTTTTGTAGTGCTTATTATTGGTTCTCCTGGGGCACATATAATTCTGACAGTTTTCACTCTCCATAATGAGACTAGCGGAAGAACAAGGAGGTGCTTTGTCCCTTGTGGGACATCTAAAAGTTTCTCAGCCACATCCTACACGCTAAAAGTTCTGTTTTTGCAACCATCAAGTTTCACAGATCTTAGTTCTCATATTTGTTTAGTGATTACATAACAGAGAGGCTGCTGGGTAAACAAAAAAAGTGGTTTAAACACCCTAAACTACAAAAAAAAAAGTTGTGTTAGAGTGGGAAGAATTCTATTTGTTGCCTTAGTGCCAGTGGGGAACAAAAATCGAAAGAAAACAGAATAGTGCAACTAGAAGCAAAGGATTATGGGTGTGAAAATTAAGGTACAAGAGCAAAAAGCTTAAATTCAGCGCCTCTGAAAATAGCCTTATCTACACCATAAATACAAATGCAAAATATGGTGCCTAACTGATGAACAGAGACAAGATAAATGATATTTAAGAATGTTATTTATGCATTTTAATAGTCAGTCACAAAGTTATGCTAAGAGGTTGTCGCTTCAGCAATATGTGCCATGCAAATAAACAGCAGGACTCGAGATAAAGACAGTTTCTTTGTGCTTTGTAAATATAACTTCCTGTGCCCTTGAAATGGGTCTCCTTGGATATCGAAACAATTGAGAGGCGGGTCTGGCTCATTCTGACCCGGTGGACGGTGACCAGATGTGAAGACCAGCTTTGAACACTCAATCGAAACGAAAAAGGAAAAGAAAGATGAAGAGATGAAAGACGAATTTTCCATGTGACAGCTCTCACTGGCAACACAAATTTGGTTAATACCACTTGTTTAACATTTAAACAAGTGTAAATGTTAAGGAGTAATAATGCTTAAAGTGGTTAGTTGAGAGTAGGGCTGTATGACATGATAAACAAACAAATTAAAATAATAAAATTAAATAAAATAAATGTAAGAAAACTATGATTAATGACAAATAAATTGTGATTCATTTCACAAATAAACTGCAACTGTGGGGGGAAAAAATGGCAGGTGAGAAATGAATAAGAAGAGAACATACGATCTTAAGGTGAGCCAGGAGCCTCATGACGTCAGCCATGTCAGCCAGGATGAGGAGGCGAGTGACGGCAGAGAGGAGGGCACGGGCGGCACGGACCATGGTGCCGCGTTTCACAGAGGAGCAGGGGTCATCCGCAAAATCTGAGGAGGCCGCGCGCATCGTCTCACCTGTACAGAGACACAAAACAACCAAGGCAAAAGCAAACAACATATGTTTAGAGTTCTACCACACAGCAAATCCCTTGAGCATATCTAGCATTTTTAAGTTCGGAACCAAATAGAGCTGCATGGACATGTCAATGGTTTATTAATAGCTGTGCATCTGTTAACCAGTGAAATAAACTGCGAGTACAGGCAAGATTGCCAAGGGTGTTCATTAGTGAAACAGCACACTTCAGAAAAACAGTGTACAGAGGGTTGCTGGTGTCTGGAAAACAATGTGCCAGTTTTATGGCACACTGTATTGTCAATGAAATACAGTGCAGTGCATTTTCCTATTCTTACTTTTCAGAACTTTAACTGCAAAAGTAGAGATCAGTATGCAGACATAATAAAGACATAATAAAACTAGAAAAAAGAAAGCCATTTGAAGATAGTCGCCGGAGTGATGATTTTTAATACCCTTCCATTGTGACTGACAGTATTAGATTACCATGCACCTCCTGAACGTTTATTTAGAACTCTATTTGTCAAAAGTAGCATTTTTATGTATTTATGTGTATTACTAAGGAGGAGAAAGCCTAAAAACTGATTCAGACTGCCAGAATGTTACTGTGGCATGCTTGCTAAAGTAGAAATGAGCAATTTGTCTCAAGGTTCATTGACAGAATCTATTAATGACCCTACAGTAAGTGGACTCCCACCTTCCATCTGAACAGGAGCTGCAGGCGGGACAGAGTTGATTAATGAAAGCTTACAAAAAGCCCAGCTGAGACATTAGCAAACGTCACTGAATCTGAGAATGATATACAGAGATGAAACATTGTGGCCAACTGACTTCCCAGAGTCTAGGGAAAGAGAGAACGAGAATATTTGTTTTTAAGCCTGTATTGGCTCTGTGTGGGTGAACACTTGCATGCACATAACAAATATGGCTGTACTTTAGTGTACGTACGTGTTCTGCTGTTTCTCTCACACAGTGAACTAAAGCGACAGAATGCCAGCTAGTCATAACAGTGCCTCGCTGCTGCCCCTCCACTTTCCAGGGGAAATGTCAGCACTGTCCTCTGGCTCTGTGCATTCTTTTGGCAGCTCTACCTTCACGGATTACCACGGAAGGTTATAATATTATTTCCATCCTAGATCTCTCTCTTTTTTTTTTTTTACCCCAGTACAATTTAACCAGATTCTCATCCAAGCTGTTTGAAACAATCCTTATTTTTGCAATCATGTTTGGTCATGCTAATGGCGCAGAAATCAAAAGCTTCAAATAAAACCTGTTTTAAACCTGCTTTCAAAGCACCAGACAGTAATATCACATCCGATTATCTAGAATAAATGAAAGTGAGTGTTAGTGATAACCAAGTCAATATTTAATGAGTGCAATGCTTATTTCTCCAGAGAAACTGAATCATAAGTTAAAAAAAAAACATTTATACAGTAAACTAAAATCATTCACCTCACCCTGTCAGAAATAACTTGTTATTCTTTCTACCAACTACTGAACCACACAAACAGAACTGTGTGGTATCAAGGGCAGTGAGTTCATCTCTCCTGACTTAAATAAACCAGATGGAGTAGACATTATCTTAGTAGACACAATGTTGACAGCCTGCCTACTTCCAGATGCTGCCTGATAAGAGAGAATTTGAAGGTTTTAGACACACACACACACATATATTGTTCCTCTCTAAAGAGAGATACGGTATAGCAAGAGTCAAGCAGGGACATTAATGCTAATTTTTTTCTGACCTGCAAGAGGATGTGAAAGAGGTCATAAAAGCATGATTAATGTTTTTTACTACTTTACTTTACTTTACTTTACTTTACTTTACTACTACTTTATATGAACAACAATTAGCTTTGTTAAATGATGAGAAACCATAAGCTTCATTATGCTACATCCACTGGGATTGACACTACTTAAGCTTGGTTGCAAATTAAGACTGCTGAGAAAATGATCATGCCAAAACATAACAAGACAAAAACACAGACTGATACAATGTTGAGATGAATGGAAATTATTGAGTTGAATGGGAATGCTAAAGGATTTCTTCAGGTATTATGGACCTTGGTACAGAGCAGCTTAAACAGGCTAGTATTAGCTGAACATCCCATTGATCCCTGAGATGACCCTCAGCTCTCATTACTGCAACTTTGTTGGAAAACCACTGCAGTCTTGTTTTCATTCTGCAGTGCATCTTCTGCATTGTGTTTTGGCTCCATACTAGACCTTCTGTAGCACAAAGATAAATACTTTATAGTTAAGTTCATTCTTAAATAAAGTAAACAAACCGCCAGTTGGACAGGACAAAATGCACTTACTTTTCTCTGAAAAGTCTTAATATTTAGTTTTGTTTTGAAGACCTAATATGGGAGGGTGAGACACTGCCAACTTATTTTAAATACTGTCAAATTAGCTGAGCAGCTAAAGCGACAGTGAAAAATTACCGTGTTTCATAGATCTGTTGTGTCTGCTTGTTTGGTCTTATAATTGACTTCTAGTAGCCTAATTGTCTTTTGTTTGAAAGTTTCGCTAAGTTATTTTTCATTGTCATTAAATGAATAAATCAATAACTGTGGGACACAAGTGACAATTACATCAAAAAGACTGATTTCTATTTTAATTATTGTCTTTGTCCTTTAACCCCTGTTTCACACAGAGCAACAGACGGTCAGCCTTGGGAGTGGTAAGTCACTCGGACCATTATGCCCAACCTGTGTTCATTAACTTCATCCCAGCTGAAGGTCAGCTTGCTAATGGTCCACGCAGAGTATTTTAACACACTTCATTCTTCCCCTGCAGCCGGGGCTTGGCTCAGTCTCCATCTGTCAGTGTTGCAGTCCCTTCACTGCAGATATGAGAACGCTTGTGCATTTTCACCACAAATGACTTAAAAAAGTGGTCATATGATGTTGCTAAAAATAACATTATTTTGTGTATTTGGTGTAATGAAATGTGTTTATGCGGTTTAAGGTTCAAAAAACACATTATTTTCCACATACTGTACATTATTGTTTCTCCTCTATGCCCCGCCTTTCTGAAATGCGTCGATTTTTACAAAGCTCATCGGTCTGAAAAGCGAGGTGTGCTCTGATTGGCCAGCTATCCAGTGCGTTGTGATTGGCCGAATACCTCAAGCGTGTGACGGAAATGTTACGCCCCTTACCATATTGTGATGCCCTGTCCGGCCGGAGCGACGAGACAAAAACATTAAAACCCATTATAGACAAGGCATTTGTTGCATCCAGTTGGGACATAATTACGGATTATAATGACTTATACTGTCTTTTTACGCGTTGTGTTGCATCGCGCCGCGTAAACATAAAACCATGTCTGCATTTGTGATCGGAGAAATGACAAACAACAAGCCCTACTCTACACTGCCCAAAAAACTCGCTT